CCTCTCCCTCCTTCTTTACTGACCTTGGTGTCTGCAGAGTTGTTTCTCTCACATATTCTCTCCACTGCTCTTCCGCCGCAGGTTTTTTTTTTTCCCCCTTCTTAAACATGTTATCCCAGAGGTGCTACCACCGTCGCTGATCGGCTCAGCCTTGGCCAGCGCCGGGTCCGTCTTGGAGCCGGATGGCACTGGCTCTATTGGACATGGGGGAAGCTTTTGGCATCTTCTCACAGAAGCCACCCCTGCAGCACCCCCCACTACCAAAACCTTGCCATGCAAACCCAATACAGTACAGTATTATTTAAACTCTAAACGAATTACAATGGCCATTAAACAATTAAAAAATTGACATGAGAATTAGCTTGGACATTAACAGGAACATCAGATACATGAAAGGAAACACTCAACCTAAAGAGACCACAACAAAGCTCTTGAAATATAATAAATCTTAGTATTGGTAATGCACAACAGGAGTCCCAGTAGGGTATCTAGTCCATGTACAGTCTACATTGTATGGCTGCAGTTTCTGTTCTTTGAGCTCCCTCGTCATGGTGTAATTCCACTGCTTGACTGTTTTCAATGCACCATTTACCTGAGTGGTTGTTTCAACTCCCAAGCATAGGCAACACAAAACCCACTACATGGCTGTTACTATGCAGAGACTCACGCGTTGCCTCTTTTCTCAAGGAGAACATTGTGGATCAAAGCATTATCTTCAAAGAAGATCTTCCAATGGATGGATTAACGCTCAGCTCATTACCACCAATTGCTGAGACATTATAGTGCCTATACTTATAGGACAGGTCAAACTTTTCAGATTTTTGTAACTAAACAATTATAATAAGCACTTATTTCCTGTTATTCCTAGTAAATTAACTTAGTGTCTAGGGATTCTGGTATGTGAAACATAAAATAGATATAGCACAAGACCCAGCTAGTAAAGCACAACAGCTATGTTCCCATTTATTCTCCACTATAAATGGAGTTAGGAAAAAAAAAAAAGCTACTGAACAGTGCTATAGCTGATCTATTTGTTGTAAGCTGTGCTATACATCAGCAGTATTAAAGAGATTATTCAAAAACTGTTCAGCATAAGAGCTTGTTTACTGGATCTTGTATTGCGGGGTAGTTCCTTATTAAACGGTAGTACTTGTTCTGAATGTACAATTCATATACTGGAGAACAGGAAGCCAATATGCCAATGTACAAACTAAATTTGTATTTCAAGTACGGTGAGACTATTCTCCAGTTTGCTGGCAGCAACCTGACAATGGGCTTGTGGATGAGAAAAGTTAACGTTTCAGAAACAAAATGTAAAAATTGATTTGTATTAGCGTGACATGGTATATATGCTTGCGCACACCTGGGACTGGGGTAGAGATGAGAGGAATGAGATCTGGGAACACACTCCTCAAGCCACTGGGCACGGATAACCAATTTTTGTCTCATTTATGGATAAGTTTTACCATGGACAAATGTAGCACCAAAACCATTCCAAGCCCTATATTAAGAAAAACACTTCCAAAAGATGCTCAACTAATACAACAAACTGGAGAACTCAAATTAACAGAACTACCTCAAGCTACAACAGCTTAACAGCAATCATCAGTGTTAGGAAAGTTCTATGCATTGCTGGAACCTTAGGAAAAATGTTTTATCTACACACTAAAGAGCTTACTAACAACAGCACAACAGTGAAATGGAATTCAGGTTATCCTACAACACAAAAATTTCATTATGGTTTGACTACAGAAAGTTTCTACACACAACCAAGGGAAGAAGAAAACAATCAACATGTTGTATCATTTCACAGTGTACAAGTCAATATTTATGAAAAGAAGCAAATTTTCCATGTGATCACTCTTGTGTGCTGCTTCATAAAGGACCACATTTGCAGATGGATACAGCTTGTTTTCTCTTGCTCATTCCTCTACTCGCCATTAGAGTGGCTTATAGCTGTTACTGATACTACTTTACTACAGGAAATCCAACTACATCCTTTAGCAATTACCAAGGAGATCCATAAATGTAAAGACATAAAAAATATGCTATGCCATTTCCTTTGCATCATCAAGATTAAATGTAGAAGAGTGGAAAGATGAGCAATGCAGTAATACGACAATCCTCCCAAAAGGAAATTAAAGATTGAATTTTACACTGTAATAAAAAACCTACATTTGGAAATGAAAAAAACTTTGTATTTCACATTAGAAAGACATCACCTGAGTTTCTAATCAATTCTATTTTTGCAATTACTTCTAAACTCAGAAATATATTATTTATGTCTGTTCCACTGCGCTGGTTTTGGCTGGGATAGTTAATTTTCTTCATAGTAGCTAGTACGGGGCTATGTTTGGGATTTGTGCTGGAAACAGTGTTGATAAC